TGGCTGACGGATCTGGCTGCTCATGGCTGGCTGACGGATCTGGCTGCTCATGGCTGGCTGACGGATCTGGCTGCTCATGGCTAGCTGACGGATCTGGCTGCTCATGGCTGGCTGACGGATCTGGCTGCTCATGGCTGGCTGACGGATCTGGCTGCTCATGGCTGGCTGACGGATCTGGCTGCTCATGGCTGGCTGACGGATCTGGCTGCTCATGGCTAGCTGACGGATCTGGCTGATCCTGTCTGGCAGAAGGCTCTGGCTGATCCTGTCTGGCAGAAGGCTCTGGCTGATCCTGTCTGGCGGAAGGCTCTGGCTGATCCTGTCGGGCGGAAGACTCTGGCTGATCCCGTCTGGCGGAAGGCTCTGGCTGATCCCGTCTGGCGGAAGGCTCTAGCTGATCCTGTCTGGCGGAAGGCTCTGGCTGATCCCGTCTGGCGGAAGGCTCTGGCTGATCTTGTCTGGCGGTAGGCTCTGGCTGATCCTGTCTGGCGGAAGGCTCTGGCTGATCCTGTCTGGCGGAAGGCTCTGGCTGATCCTGTCTGGCGGAAGGCTCTGGCTGATCCTGTCTGGCGGGAGGCTCTGGCTGATCATGTCTGGCGGAAGGCTCTGGCTGATCCTGTCTGGCGGAAGGCTTTAGCGGCTCCTGTCTGGCGGAAGGCTTTAGCGGCTCCGGTCTGGCGGACGGCTCTGAAGGCTCATGGCAGACGGGCGGCTTAGCAGGCTCAGTACATACGGGCCGTTCATGCAGCGCTTGGCATACGGACAGTTCAGACGGCGTTGGGCAGACGGGCAGTTCAGGCAGTGCTTGGCAGACGGACAGTTCAGACGGCGTTGGGCAGACGGGCAGTTCATGCAGTGCTTGGCAGACGGACAGTTCAGACGGCGTTGGGCAGACGGGCAGTTCATGCAGCGCTTGGCATACGGACAGTTCAGACGGCGTTGGGCAGACGGGCAGTTCAGGCAGTGCTTGGCAAACGGACAGTTCAGACGGCGTTGGGCAGACGGGCAGTTCATGCAGCGCTTGGCATACGGACAGTTCAGACGGCGTTGGGCAGACGGGCAGTTCAGGCAGTGCTTGGCAGACGGACAGTTCAGACGGCGTTGGGCAGACGGCAGACTCTGGCCGGCCGAGACGCCCTATAGGCCTGGAACGTAGTGCCGGAACTGGAGGTACCGGGCTGAGGCCACGCATCTCAGGGCTACTGCGAGGAGCAGCAACAGGGCATGCTGGACCCTGGGGACGCACACAAGGCCTAGTGCGTGATGCCGGAACTGGTGGTCCCGGGCTGAGAACACGCATCTCAGGGCTAGTGCGGGGAGTAGCAACAGGGCATGCTGGACCCTGGGGACGCACACAAGGCCTAGTGCGTGGTGCCGGAACTGGTGGTCCCGGGCTGAGGACACGCATCTCAGGGCTAGTGCGGGGAGTAGCAACAGGACGCACAGGACTCTGGGGACACACAGGAGGCTTGGTGCGTGGTGGAGGCACTGGTGGTACTGGGCTGGAGCGGGGAGGTGGCGCCGGAAATACCGGACCGTGCAGGCGTACTGGCTCCCTTGAGCACTGAGCCTGCCCAACCTTACCTGGTTGTATGCTCCCCGTCGCCCGACCAGTACGGGAAGGAGGAATAACCCGCACCGGGCTATGTAGGCGAACCGGGGAAACCATGCGTAAGGCTGGTGCCATGTATGCCGGCCCGAGGAGACGCACTGGTGGCCTGCTGCGTGGGACCGGCTTCATGACATCCGGCTCAACGCTCAATCTAGCCCGGCCAATACGAGGAGCTGGAATGTACCGCACCGGGCTATGCCTGCGTACAGGAGACACCATGCGCTCTACTGCGTAACATGGTGTCTGCCCGTACTCTCGCTCTCCACGGTAAGTACAGGGAGTAGGCGCAGGTCTCCTACCTGACTTCGCCACACTCCCTTTTAGCCCCCCCCCAAGAAATTCTTGGGTAGTACCCACGGGCTTCCAGCCTCGACTCCGCGCTGCCTCCTCGTACCACCTCCTCTCGGCTGCAGCTGCCTCCAGCTCTTCACGAGGGCGGCGATATTCTCCCGGTTGTGCCCAAGGACCCTTTCCATCCAAAATCTCCTCCCATGTCCAAGAATCCTTGATAGGCGTCCATAAATCCTGTGTAGGTAGGTCCTGTTGCCGCTTGACACGCTGCTTGGTCCTTTTATGGTGGGTTTTTCTGTCACGAACGTCTTGAGAATGAGCGGACCAAAGCGCAGCGTGTTGAACGAACATGACTTTATCGAAGAAAGCGCACACACGAAAACAAAACGAAACAAAACACGATCGTGAAGTCCTCAGTGACACAAACACGGAACACAGGAACAAAGGAACAAAAACCCACAAACACAAGGTGAAAACACACACTTTAAATATGGCTCCCAATCAGAGATAACGAGCCGACAGCTGACACTCGTTACCTCCGATTGGGAGTCACAAGACCAATTACCCCAAAAACACAAACAAATGAAACGCACCCATACCCAACACCACCAAATGAAATACACCCTGACTCTAACTACACAGTCCCAGAGCCAGAGTGTGACAGCAACAGAGTAGCTCATACTCTATCTCTAGGTGTCTCTCTCTCTCTACACCAAAGTATCATGGCACAGCACAGGTAGAATACATGGCTTTCCCCTTCAACTACTGATAATTCATCCATCTGTGTCACTACATTTTGAGAAGACCTGCCCATAAAGAATGATATTAGGTGAAGTGGCCCAAGTCTTCAGTATAGCAGCAACTGACACTCATAGGGAGAGCCAACATTCTTCCCATGGAATTTAAGCAGACGGGTAACTACTGTTCCGTGAACACCTTACTAATATTGAGTTGTGGAGCGTGATAAACCCAGCAGCATGGCAGTTCTTGACACAAACCGGTACATTTGGTATCTACTACCATACCCTGCTCAAAGGCACTTAAATATTTTGTCTTGCCCATTCACCCTCTGAATGGCACACATACACAATTCATGTCTCAAATGTCTCAAGGCTTAAAAATCTTTCTTTAACCTGCCTCCTCCCCTTCATCTACACTGATTCCTAATGTTATGTATACTCAGTGAATAGGAGTCATATTGAGACTGACCAACAGATAGCCAGACAATCATAGAGACAAACAGCACCCCATTGATGACAGACACTTGTCACACTGACACTGCTCAGAGAGAGGCCAGATCAAACATGGAACCGCACCGCAGTATCAATCTAGTATCACATGTGTTCCTATGCCCTGTCTGAAACACTGTTGCCTGGGGGAAAACACAACACTTTGTCATTGGCAGTGATCCAACTGAGACAAGAGGGAGGTTATAAAAGCCCTTTGATTTCATTATGGTCTCAGTAAAGTGTGTTTTATTGAGTGGAGAGAGTGAGCGGAGGTAATGAATTGCTCTGGGGGATACAGTACAGTACAATACAGTACAGTAGGCTACAGTACAGTAAGGACGGTTAGTGGCACAGCCCCTTTAACAGCTATAAAGGGTTATCCTTCTCTCTCTCTCTCTCTCTCTCTCTACGTGATGGTTTCAGATCTACGAGGGACCATGAAGAGGTTTCATATCAGACTGTTAACAGATAACTGTATCCACAACCCTTCACACTGATATTAACTACCCGCTGACTTTTTTTTGTTGTTAAATTTTAATTTAATTTTTTTATTTTTTTTATTTTTTTTAGTCATTTAGCAGACGCTCTTATCCAGAGCGACTTACAGTTAGTGATTACATATTTTTTTATACTGGCCCCCCGTGGGAATCGAACCCACAACCCTGGCGTTGCAAACGCCATGCTCTATCAACTGAGCTACATCCCTGCCGGCCATTCCCTCCCCTACCCTAGACGACGCTGGGCCAATTGTGCGCCGCCCATGAGTCTCCCGGTCGCGGCCGGCTGCGACAGAGCCTGGATTCGAACCAGGATCTCTAGTGGATCTCTAGTGGCACAGTTAGACTTCTACAATGATGTTAACTACATCCACAATCTTGATCACTGATGATGTCTTCTAACTACCTTCTTCCTATCTGATGCAATTCTGGGTGACTAAGCAGCCCTGGGGGACTGTTTAATGGGTGCAGTAGTGACATCCTCTAACAGATGTTTTACGCTGTCATTAAGAGGCAGCCATCTTGCCTTGAGTAATTGGATAAACAGACAGACAGAGTTCAGCGTCTCAATCCAGGTTTCTCTGGGCCACCTGGTTTGAGAGAGGCTGCTATGGCGTTTTCTACAGTTTCTTCTCCCTTATTTTCCTCCTTGTCTCCTAGCTAAGGACCCTGACCTGAGGTACAGACTGATATAATCACTACTCAAAGAAATGTTGGCTTATTTTTACTTTTAGTAGATTAAACTACGGTCTCTTTCTTTCTCTTTCTGTCTCTCTCTTTCTCTCTCTCTCTCTCTCTCGTACCCCCATCCTCACCTCTAGAAGGATCCCTGTAAATTCACTAGGCCTATGTGTCTCCTGTAACCCAGGCAACAAGAGCACTATAAATAGCTTAGGCCCCTCTAGTTCCGTTGTTTCCGGCTTGGTACGTAATTCCACTGTTTTAAAGGGAGGTATTTTAACCAGACTGTCATTACTGTAATTGTAGTCACTATCTGTCTCAGAGTTAAATCTCCTCCTCTGCTAAAATCAATGAGCAATGTGTGTGTGTTGTGTCACTCACTTGTGTAGGACAGCAATCTCGTTCTCGATGCTGTTCTCTTTGCCCTCCAGGGCTTTCTTAGGGATGCATTTGATGGCCACCAGTTTCTGGGTCCTCTTCTCTTCTGCTAGGACCACCTCGGAGAAAGCCCCCCTGAAACAAAAACAAGATAGGTCAGCCAAAGACAACACAGACTGCCAATCACGTATTTTCTTCTGCAACCATTTTTATTAGTAACCCAGGCCAAACACCAAAAGAGCAAGCAGAGGTACAGTAACAATGGCAAGGAAAAACTGCTTATTAAAGTTTATGAACCAGAAACAACTCTACAGTAATGATGGGAAGTTCGGCTCTTTTCTGAGAGCCGGCTCTTTTGACTCGGCTCCCAAAGAAGAGCCGGCTCTTTCGACTCCCGAACGGCTCTTTATTTAGGATCTTTTGTAGCCTATATTTTACCTTAACTTTGAAAAAAAATCATGGTTTATGTGTTGAAAACCCTTTTGCTTTCAGTGTTTTTATGAGAGACCTTATAATGCCTAATTCTGTGCATTTATTCTGTGACAAAACCACTCTTACATTTGTTTATTTCAATTAAACTTTTTTATTGCACAAATTAACAATAAACTTCAAACAAATCCACAGAACAGAATCAAAACCAGAACCAAACTCCAGCAAACAGCATTAGTCCTCAGGGCAGGTTGGCATTCAGGAAGATCAGATGCCTCAGCTTGGATGGGCTGATAGGCCTGATACGATTTCGCCTCTCCGTGAGTATCTGCCCTGTTTTGGAGAAGATTCTCTCAGAAGGAACTGATGTGGCAACAATACATAGTCTCCCCTCCATCACCTTCACCAGGAGTGGAAAGACTGAGGCCTTGGCCTGCCACCAGCTCAGTGGGTCTTCTGCTCTCTGGATGAGGGGCTCCTCAAGGTAGCTCCTCACCTCCATTATAGCATCAGCTGTCGGATTTCTCCTTGAAGCATCTCCTGTAGCTCTGTCATCAAAAAGCCTCCAAACAGCAGAGGTTTGCTGCTCCTCCTCCACTTGGCCCTGTAATGGTGGAGCTGGCTGGCTGCTGGGGGTGCATTTTGCTGCTGCTGCTGCACTAATCCTCTGAAGAGCTTCATCAACAGCTCTACGATCACTGAAGGCAAGTTTTTTAAACCTTGGATCCAATAAGGTAGTTTCTGAAAGGACAGTGTTGTACTCCATCCGCAGAAATTTGCGGTCCATGGCTGAACAAAGAGCTGCAACTAATTCCTTCACTTTCTGCACAGTTACTGTCCATTGGTTCTCGGCTGTCACCAGCTGCAGACCTTTGCAAAGCAGGAGCATTTTCGAGGCTGTGACATAGCTGAAGGAGAGAAAACAGCAACTTTTAGAATTTAGTTTTTTAAAAGTATGTGGCATATTATACGTGATGCATTATACTGTATGTGTTGTGTTTGCAATGTATAATAGTGACTGAATAGTAGTAGAGAAAACAATGCTTCAATGGTTCTAGGTACCTGTCTGCACTTATCTCCACAGTCACCTCCTGGAATGGTTGCAGGACGGCGCAGACCTCTTTCACCAGCTCCCATTCCTCTTGGCTTAATGGCTCAATAGATGCGTTGATGAGGGCCAGGGTGGAGATGATGGCATCTTTTATTTCAAGCATTCGTTTCAACATATCAAATGTTGAGTTCCACCTGGTGGCACACTCTTGTTTGGGCCTCAGTTCAGGAATCCCCATTTGGCGCTGTGTGGACTTTAGCTTCTGTGCTGCTACTGTGCTTTTGTGGAAAAACTCCACAACAGCCTTCACCTTATCCACGGTTGTTTTGATCACCTTCAGAGCATCTCTAACCACCAGGTTTAGTGTATGCGCCAGACATGGGTGATGGGTCCACTTCAAAACTTTTATGGCTTTGGTGATGTTTGCAGCATTATCACTCACACAGCACACCACTTTGTCCTCTACTTGCCACTCTTTTGCCACTCTTAGTAGCTCCACTGCCAAGTTTTCTGCAGTGTGTCTGTCGGTGAACTCGAAGCAGTCCAGAAGGCAAGATGTCATCTTGTAATCTTCAATAAAGTGGCAAGTGACAGACATGAAAGAGCAGGTTGTTCTGGAGGTCCAGCAGTCAGTTGTCAGGCAAACTGATGGAGCTTTTGTCACCCTTTCTTGCCATAATGCACGTTCTGTGTCATATAGTTTTGGGATCATTGTTTGGGAAAGTGTTTTTCTACTGGGTAGAGTGTATGTGGGATTTAGGGCTTTGACAAAGTTTTTCATTCCTTTGTCCTCCACAATGGAAAAGGGTTGAAAATCAGAAGCTACCATTTTAGCCAACTCATCATCAATACTGTGCTGTTTGGCTGGGGTCATCAGTTTAGGTAAAAACTGACTTATTTTGCTTTGAGTTGCAGTAGGAGAGGTTATACTTGCACGCATGGGGATGGCAGTAGACGTTACAGCAGCTGTTGTTCTGGTATGAGACACACCAGGATCAGTAGATGGTGAGCTGGCTTGCCCTCTCTCCTCTAACTGCACTGTAGGTTGGACAGTTCTTGTATGTCTATGCAGGTTTGTGGTGGAACCTGCTCTTATAGTGACCTTCGTTTTGCAGTGAAGGCACTCTGCTTTCTTGTTCCCAATATCTTTAAACTGCAGCCAGATGCTGCTTCGCTTTCTAGTGTCACTCATAGTTAAACGACACGACAATGCAAGACGCACACACGCTCCTCAGTCCGCTCTGTCTCTCTCTTCACTTGCAGTGGAGTCAAGTGGTGTGTCTGCCCCGCCCCCTCTCTGTTTACACATCCTTAATTCTCACGTGAATGCCGCATGCTGGTCGCCATGCTGGCCAATCATAACAGACCTCTGTGAAAGTGAAACCTAAGCAGCGAATGGGCAAAAAACTGGGAGCCGGCTCTCACTCGATGCGAGCCGGCTCTTCTGATTCACTACAAAGAGCCGGCTCTCAGAGCCGATGCTTGTGCGCATGACCCATCACTACTCTACAGGGGGAGCCCATTGTCTTTTGGAACATTCTAGATTTTATGAGTGGCCTACATCAAACAAGTTTCACTTTTAGTTCTCTTTATTTCTCCTCTGAACGAATACTGAGGAAACTGGACTTTGGACTGGGAGGATATGGGTTGGCATTAGCATATTATCAGGGATCCAGTACCCAGTCAGAAGCCAGTGGAGCAAGATCTATCAAACCTCTATCAACATGTCTCAACATGTCATGCTAAAGCAACACACAGGTTCCTAGAAGGAAATGGTTCCCAAACCTTTTTTGTATTTTGACCAACATAAAACAATTTTCTCACTAGATAAACAAGACGATATTTCTGGCCAAATCCCAATCCCACAGTTGGCCGTGACCCAGGAGGCTTTTGCCATTACCTAACAGCGGGTGATGATGCATCATCTGGGAAACACCATAGGTTTAGTATTTAGTATTTTATTAGGATCCCCATTAGCTGCTACCAAGGCAGCCGCTACTCTTCCTGGGGTCCAAACAGGAACAAAACAAAACAATAATCTACATAATAAATTAAACAATACATCACACAAGACATTGTGCACTATTCAAATTCACACTGCTCCACCATTACAAATTGGCAAAATAATAGTACAATATTACAATGTGTGTGTGTTCACAGTCCGTGTTCTGCCGTGAGGTGTTGTTTTATCAGAGAAGAGAAGAGAAGAGAAGAGAAGAGAAGAGGAAGATAAGACGAAAGAAGAAAGAAGAGAAGAGAAGAGAAGAGAAGAGAAGAGATAGAAGAAAGAAGCAAGAATCATAAGAGAGAAGAGAAGCACGACAGAGACCTCATATAATCAGCATCGATCATTACTAGAGCTCGTATCTCCGGAAATCTCTCGATCTCTACGCGCGCGTTACTCTCTCTCTCCTCGTCTCCTCTAGCCGCAATAGTTCTGTTATCTTTTTTAAAATGCTGATGCATTGTTATGGGGAAGTCTGCACCGATGGACACCCTCTTATTTCCTCAAGTGTTGTAACTTGCGTACATGTCTGAGGACGTGTGTGTGCATGTGCGTGGTTTGTGTGTGTGTGTGTATATATGTGTGTGTTATGCAGTGGTAACAGTCCCCAGCCTCTCTCAGTCTTATCTCTCTCTAGGCTGCTGATAGCTGTGTGCAGGACATGGACATGGCTGAGCCTTAAGCCTCAGAGGGCAGGTTTTATACAAACATAATCTACAGTAAGACAATGTATGGCACGATGGCACCATGCCAGGGTCTCAGAGAAGACGCTACGCAATAAAATGGTGGAAGCCTCTGCTTCACTAATGGCAAACCGTAGGTGCAATACACAGTCAGAGAATATAAATGTCTTACAAAAATGACATGAAATTTGACTTTTCCAATACAGGTGATCAAATCCTAAAGGCCAGCCTTATGTTTGGCTGTGGATAATGATGATGCATGCTCTCAGGCACACCTGAGATGGAACTGAGGGGTTATTGTGGTCAGCCTGCTCCAACTGATTCTAACTTCCTGGAATTCAAGTAGGACATAATGGCTTTTGGACAACACGTGTTATTGTTTGTGTGTTTGGTACACATGGGCACAGGTGTTACACGTAACGACAACAAAGGATGTGTTTCATTTGTGTTTTGACCCTCAGGACTGGTTCCTTCATTTGAAGGGACAGAAAACAAACCGTTTGGTATGCTATTTATAACCCTGCAAAACAGCATCAAACGCTTAACATTCAGGAGTCAAGCCAATCTGTCACGACTTCCTCCGAAGCTACCTCCTCTCCTTGTTCGGGCAGGCTTCGACGTTCGTCGTCACCGGCCTTCTAGCCACTGCCGCTCCTCATCTCATCATTCCATTTGTTCTGTCTTGTTTATTACACACACCTGGTTCATATCCCCTCATCAGTACCTGTATAAGTGTTCCCTCTGCCCCCTTGTCTTTGTGTGTGATTGTTTATTGTGGAGGAGAGAGAAGCTTGGTGGAGCTCCGTGTATTTTGTATCGCCGGGAATATTCCCCGTGTGCCTTGTATTTTCCAGAGCGCCTGTTTTGCACACTGGAGTGTTTTTATGCATTACTGCGTAACTATGTGGTTCAGAATAAATCCTGTTATTCTGTGATTTACCCTCCTGCGCCTGACTTCTTCAAAATCACCTCATCACACAATCACTGACCTTAAGCCACAATGGGAATGATTGTGCTCACTGGGTTATTTCAGTAGAAACACACCAACAACAAGGAGGAGAACAAGAGACAACTCTTCTATAAATTGTCAATTGGACGAAACTGGTCTTTCCTCAATGTCGTACAGAGTCTTGAATCGGGCATATGGTTGTTGTTGTTGAGTGTTCTTCATGCTCTTGCTAAGACACAGTGTAAACATTTGATCTAATCTAAATCACTGTGGAAACGGAACGTTTTAGTATTCTTGTGACTCACAAGACTCAAAACCATGTTTATTGGTCCTCTGTAGCTCAGCTGGTAGAGCACAGCACTTGTAACGCCAAGGTACTGGGTTTGATCCCCGGGACCACCCATACACAAAATATTTATGCACGCATGACTGTAAGTCGCTTTGGATAAAAGCGTCTGCTAAATGGCATATTATTATTATTATTATTATTATTATTATTGTCTCAACCCAGCCACGACCCAAGGGGACTGGCCACCAATAGCGGTGTCTGGGTAAAATCACTGAGGAAGCCAGGAAAAAAAGCCATATTACAACCTATGTGTTGTGATAATTGCGTTGTTTGCGCTATAACCTGTTAGTTAATATCCCTTGCCAGCGTCATATATAGGCCTAAGGCTGAGACAATAAGACGACACAGTGGCAGAATAAATTCAACCACACCTTTGTTTCATCACAAAACTGAAGAGCAACATCTGTCCGGTGAAGTCCACAAAAACAAACAGTTACATGACCTAGAGCAGGGATCATCAAACATATAGATTCAGCCGCAGGCTGATTTTTTGTTGAGTGGATGGTCGGGTGGCCGGAATATAATTACAAATAATTTGTAGACTGCAAATTGACCGCAAAAAGCCCAAACAGATATAATGCTTGACTAAAACGTAATAATTTCAAACCTTGCTTACATTTGTATACGATCACGTGTCTCTCTATTATGTGTGGGAATACTTGGGGACAGATTTCTTAAATTAAATCACTTGGAGCTGATTTCCTGTTGTTTTTACAGTCTTTTATGTCAAACAATAAAAAAAATACAAATAAATTGCTATTATTATTTATTTATTTTTGGTCAGAAAACTTGGGGGGCCAAATGAGACCACCCGCGGGCCAAATTCGGCCGCCAGTTGGGTAACCATGACCTACAGCATGGTCAAGCAAGTTAATGTTTCCGACATTTTCAGACTACTAAACTATTGATTTAGAACCACAGAGACTTACCGCAAGTCGCAAAGAAAACAGGAGCTGCCTTCACTATTCCAGCACCAATTCAACTTCAATTATTCAACATAATAAAATCACCTATGCTTAGTCTAATACAGTGAGAACTAAGATACCAAAAACAATTTAGACTAATCAACGTAAGCTAAATATGATATGGCTTTCCATGGTACTGATCTCTGTGTGTGTGTGTGTGTGTGTGTGTGTGTGTGTGTGTGTGTGTGTGTGTGTGTGTGTGTGTGTGTGTGTGTGTGTGTGCAAGTAAAAAAAAATTGTCTCACCCAGAAACACCAATGCCATCCTCCTCTCTTTCATGACTCTGTCATACAATACACACTTTAAGTTTTTGTTGTCCTAGGCTACCAGGCTAAAATGCTTGCTCACTAGCCTAACTTCCTTTCATGGGGCAACGATGCACCTGGCCAGCTAGTAAACATTATCATACCACATCTAGCTACATATTGAACTTCCATCCTCTCAGGTCAGGGGCACAGTGTATGAATTTATGGTTAGATCAGAATCACCGTTGTAATCATTGGCCAGTAAGTAGAATTAAATAAAACCACAAGTCCAATTCCCTATCTCCATCCATGGCTAATTTAGGAAAGGGATGATTTTAGCTAGCTAGCTAGCCACCGGAGGACAACGACACAATGAGATGCTACAATTCAAGTTTTTTCTGTAAATGACGTTTGGCTTGTGATTGGTGTGAAGCCAAATCCAAACTGGCTTCCCTTGACACTTTGTTTTTGGTGCGCCAGGACCATTCACAGTTGAGCTCACTCAGTTTAGCTCAACACTGATTGGCTATTATTCTTTTGATTATTATCAAAGGAAGCCAAATGCTTGCTGGCTTCCCTTGCATTCAACGCTACGAGCAGCAACAATGTCATACTCTTTTTGACCAGACAGCATCAGATAGATGGCCTACACATTCTGAGACAGAGGGGCACTGTTTCGCTTGGATGCTTTCTCTGGTGAGATACATTCAGCCTCTTGAGAATTAAAGGACAATTGTGAAACACAGAGAGACAAAAGAAATTATTATTTACTTTTTTTTCTTGATACATTTTTTGGGGAACCCTGGCTTCCCTTGGCATCCATGAATACACGCCACTGCTGGCCACATTCCACCATTAGGAAGCATGGCTCTATACTGGTCATTGTGACTCTGGGCCCAAATCCAGCCCTGGAGCAGGTGGTGGGGAGGTCACCAGTTCAAATTCCACTCTAGAATCTGGAGCAATTGCAATTCTGAACTCTGAAGCCGCCTCCAGAAAGACCAGACTAGAAATGGCAGAGAGTGCAATCATTCTCCCAAAAAAGACCCATGACAATGACAATGATGGATGATGATAATGATGATGATGATGATGATGATGATGGAGATAATGATGATCTTGTGATCTTGCAAGTCTGTTTCAGGATTAGCTTGCTCTATTGTCAGGGTATAATCAAACATGATAGTGCCACATCCTCTCACGTGCCAATGTGTCCTGTTTTCACAGACCTACTGTATTTACACAGAATATACGTAATAACAGACAGTAAACATGCTCTAGACAGTATGACTGATAATGATGCCTTATAAAACATCT